CCAAGAGTTTTTAATAAATTGTAAGAGAATACAATATTTTGTGGGCACGGTCTTAGAAGATAATATAAATTCTAACTTTTAAGGCTATGTGCCTATATGACGTAGTTCTTTACTTCTATATAACATTTGTACTAAAAGTGCTTTTGTTTCATAAAAGGTTATATTAATTAATAAATGTATATTAACTAATCACTATTTAAAATAATATATTTTATAACATCAACATAATATAATGTTTTTTATTCGTAAAAAAAAACAGTAATTTTATGATTTAAAGTAACAAAATGAGATAAAAGTTATCAACTAAAAATTTTAAACCCCGCTATTATTTGAATTCTTATTTTTATACATATCTAAACTTTAAAAAAACGAATCGTTTTAAACTGTCAGATGTATATGAATGGACTAATTCGAAACTATATGTTTTAATCATTAGCGCAGTCAAACCTCCGTTGTACCTATACCTACGTTTCACTTTAGGTATCACATTATTTTAATATTTATATTTTATATAATAAAACACTTCAGTATACTTACAATAATTTTTAGCGTGGACTATAACCATTGCCGGAAAATAAAGTCCACGTAAAAACAATTAATCTAGGTACATTGATATTTCGATATCCGTTATTATAATTTGCTAAATATAATTGATATTATCATGAAATTTATCGAAATAAAAATGCGCAAGTATACCTTTTTAATATACTTATATTGCCATCTTAAAAAAAAAAATAGTATTTTATAATTATATAAGGTCATCAGACTGGTGAATTATTACTTTTTATTTATTTTCAGATTTTTATAAACTTCGATATAATGCAGCTGCAGTGACATCGTACTACCTCGGAGCAAATCGTTTACCTATCTATATTCAATAAACATGTTACTGATAAAAGTCCAGGAAAATTCACTAAAAATTATATTAAAAGAAAGTTAGAAACAAATGACAAAAAAAATAGACGTAGTAACTAATAGTTTTTTTTAAAACATCTAAACGATCTATAGTGTCTAAGAAAAATCTAGGACCAGATGAAAATTATGAAAATGTGTCACACGACCCATTTTTAGAATTTACTGAATGTGAAATTGAAAATTACAAACATAAATATCTAGAAAAGTTATCACTATCTGAGTATTAAGTAAAAACATTAGAAATTAGAACTAAGAGGCAAAATCAATACGAAGAATGGTACATTGAGAGAAAAAAAACGGTTGGTATTCACAAAAATAAAATTAACTGATTCAATATTATTATTGTAATTATTAGATTATATTATTATTTACAGACTCGGTGCATCTATGTTTGATAAAATTTGTAAATTACGTGAAAAAACATTTTGTATGAAAACAACAAATGATATTTTATTTGGGATATTTACCGGAAATGCCGCAACTAGATATGGAATTACTAAAGAAGTAGTAGCAAAAAAACAGTTGGAAGAGCACTAAAAAAAAAAAATTCTGCCTTCTGGTCTGTTTGATGATATAAATTTATCATTTGATTGTTTATCATTAGATGGTTCGTTGGTAGAAATTAAGTGTCCAGCAAGTGGTAAAGAACTTTCACGGGAAAAAGCAATAAATATTGGTAAAATTAAATGTTGCTTGGTAAATAATAGACAATTACAATTTACAATTAAAATAAAATGGTAATTACCAAGTTCAGGGGCACAGTCGGAAAATGTATTGTTATTTTTGTGTATGGACCCCAAAAGGTAATCAATATTGTTTAAATAATTAAATGAAATTAATAATATCTACGAATAATATCGTCTTTTCAGGTTAAATGTACGAAAAAATTCAATGTGATGATGAATTTTGGGGGAAAAGTATGAAATTTAGCGGGAACATTTTTATTTGTAACATCTTTTACCAAGCTTTATAAAAGAAAAATATTAATGACAAATTTTAAATAAATAGTAATAATTAATAAATGAATGGGTTACGGTACATTTATTATGAATTATGATATTATTATCCTCGTAAAACTATTATAATTTATTCACCAACAATTATATTATTAAAAAATATGAAAATATAATTATTATTTTTGTATTAATGACCCATAGTGAATAAAATTTTTATTGTCTTGCTGCAGTAGCTGTAAAATGTGTCTGGCTAAAATTACCACCACATCAACCGCGGAAATATGTGTACGGTTATTTACACTATTTACAGTAGCCGGGTAGTTATATTATTAGGATTGTAATATTGTTATTAAGCTATAAACCGATTAACTATTATGTATTAATTATTATTTTTTATTACTAGGGCTCGAATGTTTAAGCACTTAAAACTACTGTAATATGCATGCATTTATGCACTAAAAAATTACGAAAAATGCAATCAAAATATATGCTAAAAATTATAAAATATGTATTTTTAACCAATAAAAATGTCAAAATATGTACAAAAAAAATGTATTGTTTATTTTAATACAATTTTAAATATATTTTTTAAATTTACATAGCGTTTTATTTACTTTAATTTACATTATTATTTATAAATTAGGTATTACCATTATTAGCGTTATACTGTGCTAGGTACTATATAGTTTTTTTTAATTTGTTCAAATTTGTAATTTCGTCTATTATTGTTTAGTAAATTTTTGTAATGTGAAAAGTTTCGTTCTACATTAACTGATGTTATTTAAACCTTGTCCAATAAAGTACTGTGATTCCGAACAAACACGATAAGTCGATAATAAACATTTATATTTTACGTCAATACTTGGTAAATTGTAAACTGTAGTTACCACCCATAAAATTTATACATACAATTTTTTAAATTAATTATATAGTTCGTTAATTAAATTGTTTTTAAAAAAATGTACTAAAATATGCTTTTTATTTTTAAAATCCCAAAATATGCAATTAAAATACGAACCATTAAATATGCAAAATAAAAATAGTATTATTTGATTCAGTATAACATGAATTAAATATGTATTCAGGTTAGCATTAAATTGGATAAATAGAAAAAAATATACAATTTCATTAACATCCGAGCCCTATTTATTACCATTCAATTTGGTAAAAAAGAATAATAACATTTTTATGTTATGGTAATAATTAGTTACTGAAAATTCAAGGAATTTATATTCATGCTTGCAATCAGTGGCGTAGTTAGAATTTTTAAATGATGGGAGGGAGAAGTTAAGATGGTTTAGGTCACCAGGGATGATTCAAAATATGCATCTTAATTAGAATTATTTTGTTTATAATGTAAAAGTATTTGAACTTCATAACATTAACGTCATTAACCATAGTCTTCTTGTTTTGATCGTTAATTTGCTGAATAATAAAAATATTAAAATAATTAAATAAAAATCAATGGGAGAGGTTACAACACCCAAACCCCCTGGCTACGTCGCAGCTTGCAATCCATTCACATTGACACTATTGTTGAAAAATTACATAAATTTTGCTCGAATAGCCATGCAATAGCACTTTAAAAGATCAGGTTTTTGAAAATAACTACTTATAATATTCCATTTTATAGATGTAGTCACAAACAATTGAAACATCCATTTCTTCTTGGCATATTTAGGAATGCTTTGAAATGTCAAGTGTGTCATCGTCTTCGATTTAAGATCACAAGAAAATGTTTGGGTATACACCAATGTTTTTACATACAAATTTAAACTTGAAATTTCTTTAAAAAAACAATTATCTTTATTTATAATTTTTTTTAGGTGTTGTATTTTATGAAGAATCTTGAAAAAAAAATTCAAAACTATGAAAAGAAAATCGAAAATTCTCTGTACTTTTCAAAAATTACTGGAAAAAAAAATCAAATATTTTTAAAATTTTAATATTATTATTAAAATAATTGATTGGAGACTTTGCAGATTTCAATGTAAAATTCCAAACTATCAGTAGTATTAACCAAGTCACTTTCAGAAATAGACTGTCACAATAATTTTAAGTAATATTTCTTCTAAATTTATTTCGCCTTGTATACGGTAGTCAGTTAAAGTATTTTGACATTTCTGATTTTATCTCTGATTAAATACTTTTATAATACCGGGGCAATGGTAATATTTTCCAAATGTCACCCGCAAAGACAAATGTTACACCTATCGTTTTATCTGATATTTTAATATATTTATAAATGTTCTGATTGAGATATTGAAAATATCATGTATTCGTTCCAAAGTCCTCATTTCACCAGGTAAATGAGGCAAAATCTTAGTAATAAAGCTAGTATAGCTAGTATATTGTTTAATCTAGTGCAGACTATAAAAGCCCATGTTATTTCTAAAATCACAAAAAACAATTAAAAAAAATATCGTCAAATTATTCCATTAGTTTATAAGCTGATTCCGATCAAAAAAGAAATACAGAGAATTTTAAATATTATTAAAGATTTAAAAAATAGGGGTGCATAATACGACAAAATTCCAAGTCTGAGAATATAATTTTGATACAAATCTGCAGGCACGTTGTGTTTTCACCGCATGCAACCTCAGTAGACTTAACTGTAAATAGTGTAAATGATGAATATAATATATTGCCAATACTATGTACAAGTGTCATAGTAATTATGCATACGAGTAGGTATAAGGTATAAGTACCAAATTTACGTAAGAAAATCATTATCAATTGTCAGGTACTGTCAGGCACATCAAACAGTGGCAGGGTAAATGACGATTATAACAAGTAGTTGAGAGTGTTAAGACACATATTTATTTCATATTTGAGATGCAAATACTCGGTTATTAATTATTATCATCACACCGTATTGCCATTACCACCTTATCATGAACTGATAAGTCTATTATGAATACGTTTGTGATATTAATGTGATAGTAATGTCAGAGTAATGTAGAAAGTCAAATTCATTGATAATTAAGAAATAGATATTCAATTCTATTTGATCAAAAAAAAAAAAATAATTATAATAATATTATTCACTATTCAGTGGTTCTAGTTCAGTGTTGACTGTTGCTCAGTTTTCTCTGTTTATACTTTATACATTCTTTATTTTTCATAATTTTACATTATGTTGTCTAATGTCTATTGTCTAATATTATAAGTTCTTCGAAGTTCTATGATATCAAGATAAATATTGTTAAGTTTTATTCATAATATTTTTGTTTTCACGTATTATAATAGTGATATAAGTATCATTTGTTTTTTAATTCAAACATTTTCACTTATAAATATGGTTCAAGTTAATAAAGAAGCGTATATACCACTGTTACCTTATGATCTAGGATATGAAGAAACTATTTTGCAATTGATAAAATCATTAGATTGTCTAGATAAAGTTGTTGAATGTGTCTATGAACATGTAAGAGGTAATATAAACTCACAAAAATCAGAAATTGAGAAGCTGAGTGAAAAATTGAACAACATAGCTAAGAAAGTACAACAGTTGTCAAATACCAAAAAATCAATTCAAGTTTATTCCAGTTCAAAATATCCAGCTACACATTTACAAAAAGATTATGAATATAGTTATAATTTTGAAATAAAATCTGATATTACCGACAATATCCAAGTTGCTCATCAAATATGTGTTTCCAATGACCCAAATGATAAGCTTAAATTTTACCATGTTAATGATGAAAATAAAAAATTATCTAAAAATAAAGATATTATTCAAATGAAAGGTCTAGGCAGATTACCTGATGATGTTAATTACATAAATTCCTTGTTATTATTTAATTCTAATGAAAATTTATACAAAAACTATGTTTTATCTAATCCCTATAAAGTTAAAACAATACCGACGAGTAAACAAGTCGAAACAGTTCAATATATTAATAAACCTGTATTTACACTACCATTGAATGATATTGAAAATCAGTTTAATTATTCTTATACACCAGAATATGAAGAGGTTCCTACTATTGATGTGCCATCTGATTTACCCGATCTTCCAGGAATTGCGGGTGATGTATTATGTTTTAAAAATGAAGAAGAAAATATTGGCATGCCACCTGTTAGTAATCCATCCAGTGTAGTAGATCTTCCAAGTTTTGATGAGTTAGACGAAATTAAAAATAATGAATCAGTTCCTGAACAATTGATACAGACTGAACAAGAAATCATTAAACCAGCTGAACTAGAAGAATTGTCAACTGTTGTATCTATTCAAAATAAAAATGATCATATTGAAGAAATTGATAATTCTGTTAAAAAGGATCAAAATGTTAATAAAACATATAATGATAATAATATTAATACACACAGTGTTTTAATGGACGAAATAAGAAATGCAGGAGGATTACAAAAAGCTAAATTACGCTCAGTGGTTGATAGAAAAACCAACAATGAAACAATGCCTACTGGAGATGGATTAATGGCAGATTTACATAAAAAATTAGCAATGCGAAGACAAGGGATTTCTGGTAATAATAAGCAAAATGATAGCGGCTTAGAAGGGGTTATTTATCGTATGGCTTCAACGATGTTACCTCCAAATCTTGAATCTGAAAGTGAAGCAGATGGGGACGATGACACAGAAGGTGATTGGGATGATTGATTATTCATTTAGTCCAACATAACATACTTTTTTATTCATTTATAATTAAATTTGTTTTTTTTTTATAAATATGTATTAATGTTATATTCAATTCTTTATTTACCTAATTATTGTTAAATTGTTCTATATATTTATGTAATATTAATATCCAAATTATTTCTAATCAAATATTTTATTTTTAAATGTAAAATGTAAATATAGAATTTAAAAGAAAAATAATTTATTAATATATTGTTATAGTTTCAGACTAGTTAGGTAGTAAATAGCTTTTAACTTAAAAATATTATACTAATATTATGATTTAAATGTTCACACATTTTTAATTACAATAAAAATAATTTAAAGAACTTATAAATTAAATACAAAACATATTGACAGGTAGATACATTACAATTTTTTATGAAATTTACAATTATTTTTTTTTATACAATAAGAATTATTATTTTAACTAATAGTGTACAGTATTAGACAAAGAAAACACGATTTATAGTATTTATTATTTAAATTATTGAAATAAAATATTGATTTTTATTATAATTTTATAAAATACTGGAATTTTCAAGAAAGTTAATTCTATTTTTAGTTATTCTTTTATTGTAAAAATATATAATATAAGAATTATTTAATTTAAATTATACAAAATAAATAATTAATCAGTCGTTTAGTGACATTTGTTGTAGTTGGTCATGAAACTCTGTGAATAATCTTTGAGTGTTTCTTGAACCAGCTACAATAACTAATACTTCTCTTAATAGATCATGTTTTGACATACCAATTATTGTTTCAACTTTTTTATTACTTGAATAACCATGTGAAGCTCCCAACAAATCTTGACATAAATATCTTAATTGATCATTGTCTTCTCTATCAGTTAAAAAGGAAACATAAGCCAATAACCAGTATTTATACTCCTTGTCTGACTCTAAAGCTAAAGCTGCTGACATCTGTTGTTCCAAAAATGATTTTGAACATAATTCACTGATTCCTTCAGTGTCATTAAAATCTAAGTTTGATTTATACTTTGAGGAATATGCTTGCATGATACTTAATGGATACTTGCCACTAGTCTTATTTAAATCATTATGTTTATTTTTTTGAGTAGAATTTGAATAAATAGCATCTCCACTATCACCGATCATCATCCAACATTTTGCACTTATAGAAAACATATATGATTTACCAGTAGTCAATGTGATGATTGATGTTCCATTTTCAGTCAGCATACATTTTTGTACATTTACTGGTTTATTTTTATTAGAACAAATCAATGTGTTCAGTTTTTCTTCATGTAGAACACATTCTTGTTTATATATGTTCCATACAGAAAGAGAATTTTGCGTTATGCATAATAAGTAGTGATTATTGGATTTTATGGAAGTTACTAAAGACGATAGTACATAGGGAGGACATATTAATAGACCATTTTTTGACTCCATCACATGAATGGTACAATCACTCAATGCTACAGCTATTAATGATAAAGTTTTATTAGTACAATACTTAACTACACTTGAACTAAATACTTTCTCCCAAGCAATTATATTATTAGTATAGAATTTCATTTTAGTTATAGTCCCATTTATAGTATTGCATTTATCGTTTTCCACAACAACTCTATCAGTGCATACGTTTGAAATGATAAATTTTCTTTTTTGTGATGTAGTTTCATTAAAATTAGGTCGGACATCAGATGAAATATCATTATCATCCACATTATTAAATTTAATTTTTTTAGTTGAAAACAAATTTGATAATAATGCTACGGGTTCTGGCCTTTTCTTGGATTCTCCTCTATTGGGAGATATTTGTAAAACAGATGTAGGAGTGCTCTTTGGTATTGTTGAATCAATAATTGTTGGAGTTTGAGATTCTTGACTAAAGTTACTGCAACTGTTGCTTATATTTGGCTCAATAATATTATTCACTCTTTCAACAACTACTTGACTTTTACATTCACTAGACGACGAAAAAGGTAAAACATTTATTTCTTCTGCATTATCAGGTGTTGGTGGTATAAAAATAGGTGTAATACGTCTACGCCCATCAGATGTACGAGTTTCAATTTGTTTTTTCAAAATTGGTGGTAAAGGTTTAATTACATTTGGAGTTAGTTGTTTGATTTCTTTTTTAGAATCTACTTCTTGAACTTCTGATCGTTGTGTGCCATTCATTTTTAGTATTGCAGGATTTTCTATGAGTAAATTGTTGTTATGACGTTCTAAAGGCGAGATACCATACATTTTTTTAAAAATTATATTTTTATCTTGATTTGTAAGTGCTTTTCCAATATCTTTTGGATCAAATATTAAAATTGCTATGGTTCCGTCATATGAACAAGCATACAAGTTTAAACCATTCGTTGACCACGACAAATCTAACACAGGGCCTTGAAATAAACTTTCAAGAACAACAACTGGTCTTTTTAATCCTGTTTGCCATATTGATACATTAGTATCTCTCGAGCCTACAGCACATAGACACATGTGATGATTCTTCTTACCAACTTTTCTCTCCATTATTGAATTACTAAATCTCACACAATTTACAGCTTTTCTATGTCCTACATAATCTTTTTCATATGTCCAACCATCTCTTTCAATAACTTTAGCTACAGGACCTTTATTGTTCATGGCATGAGCCGATACCAAGTATTGACCGTCTGGGGACCAGCTGTGCCGTAGTACAGAAGTGTTTCCACCACAGTCTTTGAAGGGAGTCGTAACAATAGTATCTGTTTCCCAATCAGATGTTCTCCATATTCTTAAGGTTTTATCATCTGATTGTGAAGAAATATATTTACCAATTGGATCCCAAGAAACTCCTTTTACTAGACCAGTATGTCCAGAAAGAACTTTATGGACAGATGGAAATTTTTGAGCATCCCATATAATTATTGTATTGTCTACTGAACATGATGCCAAATATTTGTCATGGGGTGACCATGCAATATCAAGTATATCACCAGAGTGTGAGCGTAAAGTAAACATACATTTCCACGTTTCAATATTCACAATATTTTTGGTACCAAATACAATGTTTCCACTATTAGGATATTTGCTCAATGTCCACACCATAATGATTTTATCGTCACCGCCAGACGCCAAAAATTTGCCTGAATGACTCCATCGAACACAATTAACACTCGCTAAATGGCTGTCAACCTAAAAAAATTAAACTATATTCGTTTTTTCAATCATTATTTATTTTATTATTGACTTAAAATCATTTTGAACCTCCCACTAGTATATTTGCCAAAATAAAAACGCTCACCTGGCACAACATTTTTGGTACATTTTCGTCGTTTTCGCTGTTTTCGTCCAACACCGCCGCTGTGTTCCATAACACGACTAGTCCTGAGTCTCGACCCTGGCCACCGGTGGCCAGACGAGTACCATCCGGATGAATGTCGATTGAAAATATGGGCATACCATTGTGAGATATCCATGATGGTTTCAAAATAATCATCGTATAAGATGGCGGGTTTTATTTACAATTTTTTCTTTGCACTAAATCCGTTCATAGCCAACAATCTAAATGACATATTGTACCTTAAAGCTTATAAAGTAGTTATGAACCAAAAGCAGAAAACAATTTTGTTTTTTAATCTTTGGCACTTAAATTTTATTTTTTTTTTACCGGGAATTATTTTTCATGTTTTTGTTATTCGTTTCCGTCAACGCGACGTTACGGACATCATGAATGTCGAAATTGTTCGTAACTACCATAATTAAACCAGCTATATCCTGATTCCCGGTAGAAAACTGGAAAATCCAAATTGGTCAACGGAAGAAGTGAAAGCATAATTTAAATATTAGAAATTTAAGATTTTATGATAGAATTTTATCTTAAACCTTGAAGAAAATGTAGTAAGCCTCACTGATGGCACGGAGTACGGACGCAGCTATACATCGTGTTTATATGTATTTATTCGATATATATTTTAAATCGTATGATGTCGTACGAAACATGTTCGAACGGCGAATACGTCGAAAAAAACAGCACTGATATTCGACTGTTTATTTTTAAATATTGATCTTAGTTCGTAATCGTAGCCCGTAGATAATTAATAATAATGTATCAATGTACATTTAATAGCTACATCATCATATTGTGACGAAATCTAGTGTGAATTGTGATGATGAACAATTTTTAAATTATAAGTAACTTTAACAAAAATGTCAACAATATCCGTTGTTCACCATTCAGCCGTCTGTATCTCACCGATTCCTTTATCACATTTCTCGTTTTACCGCCAAAACAATAGTTTGAGACAAACATTCTTTGGTTCGATTTTGAAGATTATCATTCGTCAATCGTCACGATTCACGATTACGCGTTTTAGCTTTTAGCATTTACGCGATTAATCACTGTCCGGCGTACACGGTACACGTTTAAACTGTGCATTCGACATCAATTTCGTTAATAATCATAGTTTTCTCTTCAACGAATACTTTCCAACAGGTAAGAAATGAATATTGTGATTTATGGTGGCATTAAAAATCTGTTTTTCGTTTATAGAATTTCGAATTACGCTCGTGTTCACCGTTTCAATGTTTAACTCCACTATTTCGGTAGAAAAGCAAATTAGTAACTTTATAATTGGTAGTTGGCCTTGTTAGACTTTTAACATTGTCATTGAGTACCAATAAACTATTGCTTATTGTCTGTTTTTGTCATATGTTTGGATGTTCTAAACACCTAGTTCAATGATATTTAATGTTATACCATTGATTAAATAAATATACATGTTTATTTAATCAATTGTTATACTTTAATTTTTTGTATATCATAATTTATTAAAAATTGAATGTTAATATAATATGCGCTCTACAAATAAGTTTTTGATTCAGTATGTGTTCTACATTATGTCGTTTTAGTTGCATTTTATTTTACTATTACTTTACCTTAAGTGTTTCAACAGAGCGAAAAAAAGGTTAAACCATCTTGGCGGTAAAGTTTCCAACTTAGTAATTAAGATAGGACTACAAATGATAAAAAAAAATACCCCTCGTTTTTTTCAATAATTTAATTTTTGTGGCCAACCATTACATCTTAATGCTTTGAGCAAGGGCTTCTGTATTCGCATCGGTATATGAGGTTTAGCGATTTACCACAGTGTTGAATGAGACTTCGGCATATGAGAGTATGAGACACCTATATTGAAATAATTTTATTTATTTTTTAATTTTAATAAATACCATGTGTTATCATAATTATTTTTCTAATTGTAAAATGTTTTTAGTCTTAAAAATGTGGGGTGACGATGAAGGTGGATTCAATGTCACAATGACACAAAGTCCAACAACAGCATCTGGAGTAGAACCAAAACAAAATACTGTAATTTCAGTAGCTATTCGTGAATTATTAGATAGTAATGAGGAAAATAAAAATACACATGTTGTAGTTGTTGGAATTATCAAGCAGGTAAAACATTTATTTAATAATAATATATCTACTTAGAAATAATATAATGTTATTTTGTGTTTTGTAGGTTGAAACACAGACATTAAAAAATATGTTTACAATTGAAGACAATACTGGTCGCTTGTTATGTATTCAATGGGGAGATGAGAACGAACTGTCAAGATATCCTAAATTGATTGAAAACGCATATTTTAAAGTAGTTGGTAGTAAAAGAATTCAAAATGACAAAGTCACATTGCTTTGTCATAGTGTAAGACCTTTAGAAAGTCTAAATGAATTAACACATCATTTATTAAGTATTATTGCGTTACCGTATCAAACCGAGGAAATCAATATGGTAAGATTATCTAAGCAACCAAGGAAAAGAATAAAATAAAAACTGCTAATTAATTTTTTTAAGGCAATTGGAACACAGCAGTCAACTGCAACAAACCAAAAGGACTTTTTAATCAGTGGTGATAATACTAATGGGTATATGGATACCACTAACAATTTATCGCTGAACCCTAAGCAATTAAAAGTTTATACAGTGATTAAGAGGTGCCAAGACGAGGCAGGTTATTCGGCATCAGATATTCAAAAAATACTTCCAGATAAAATGTCATTGCCAGAAATAGAAAAGATTCTTTCATTTTTTATTGAAGAAGGACATATTTTCTCAACCATTGATGAGAATCATTACAAAGTCACTGATTTTGGAAGTTAATTGTTCAATTTTTAGTACTTATTAACATTATTTAAGAAATTGTAAACACTATGAAATAAGTTATTATTTAAGCATAATAATTTGAATGTATTATGTTACTTATACAGTACATTTTTATTACTAAAAATAATCATTACATTGGTATAATAATAAAGATAATAAAGCTATAACAAGTTAATTTTCAAACATAAGTTTTACAACGGTTTATACATCCTAAAAAGTAGCATACAGTTATAAAAAAATTGAGTTGGAATGCAATACTAAGACTGATGATGATGAAGTCTTTTTCCATTGTCAAAACTTGACAGCCGTGGATAATTAACAAACTCTTTTCCATAATAAAATATTAACGACAACACACACATAACCATTGTGCCCCAGAATAGAAGAAATATGTATGTTCCAGTGTTGTATTCTAACAAACAGATAAATAATATTATTAAATTTAGTTTATGATATAAACAGTATAAAAATGTATCCATTACTAACCAGAAGTAAACACCGCGTTAGCCATGAACATCGCTAGTGCAATCATTAAAATTATTGGATACTAAAAAACATAAAAACCATTAATACATAAAATGTGTTATAATATTAGCATTAAAATATTAATTTGTTAAATTATGTTATGTGATTCTTTATAATATTTCATGAAAATTATATCTACACAATAGTACTAAATTCAACTGGAATATTATATCAACATTAGTGTTATGTTAACATCCACAACTATTAGTTTTGTGTAATAATTAAATTTTAATTTTATTAATTAAAATGAATAATGCTAGATTGTACAAATTTTTGTAAAAATTTCATCATATTGTTGGTAATAAAAAAGTTTTAATTTTCAATACTTTAATAAAACTATTATTCCTATAATAATTTGAACTAATAGTTGATTAATATTCTCTTAAACCTAATTTAATGATATGATAACTATATTCAATTTTAATTATAAAAAATGTATGATGGACCTATCCGTTTTGTACTAATGTACAACTTTACATCGAGTAGTTACAATTATGTGTTGTTGGTTTTAATAATAGAGTAAATTAAGTTGTTATCAAACTTAAAGGTAAAAACATTGATTTTTTTAAGCTAGGTATAATTTATATATGTTCATATCTCACTTTAAAATTATAATAGAAAAAAAAAAAATGTTTTTATCTGTAAGTTAAATAATAAAGCAAATATTCTATGTTACTGCAAAAAAAGCAATTTTCTTTAAAGTAATTTATAATTGTGTTAAATTATTATTTATTACACAATCCTAGTAGTAATGCAGAATTTTGTACATGACAATGCAATTTAGAATTAGTATCATTATTAATTTTATTTAATACTTGCCATAAAATATTTAAGAGCTGGTTTAACTTCTAAAGGACATGATAAAGATGCACTTTCCTCAGCATTTACAACATAATTTCCCAAAACAAGATCAATACTATCCTATAAAACATTAATAACATTTTTTTATTATAGTTTAAAAATTACACTATTTCAATAATATGAATATTATATTTACTTGACGAACTCCGTCTCTCAAATTGTTTTTGTAATAGCGCAAAATTGAGTTCTTTAAATCTCTAAACATTCCATTGTAAGTGCGTTTACCAGTTCGTGTAAAATCAGTTTTTAAGGCTCCTGTTCCAGAGTATTGAATTGATATAATATCAGCATGGTCAGCCCATACTGATTTGAATAAACTTTCAAAATCTAATTGATCTTCTACTTTTTGTCCAAAGTTTAATATGTCCATTTTCTTAAATGATTATAAAATATTTAATTTTACATTTTACATTTAATAAAATAAAATAATTTTACCTGCAACATAACAGTCAAAATTCTACGGCCTAATAAACTTTGTACAACATTTGTTCGATCCAAACAGTCTACACAGTTTGTTCTAAATACTCCTTTTTGTAAGATAAGCAACTTTCCATCAGAGCCAAGAAGAAAGTACTTTAAATTATCTTGCTCATGAGCTACTCTATTTACCAAAATTGAAAGTCTATCCCATCTCATTTTTTTACATTCACTATGAAAATCAAATGCTTCATATTTAATTTTATTATTGTCCAACATAGTAACAATATCATGATAATTGCGTTCCAATTCTTGTTCTGCACCTCTATGATCAATCTTTTATTTTCATTATTATTTATTAGTATTAATTTAAAAATAAAGAAATTTTACAAAAATAATTTTTATTACCAAGTTAATCAAAATTTGTTGACCATAAATAGAAATCTGTTCATTAAAATGAATGGTAGCTGCTTCTAAATGGTTTTCATTTTGAGCTATCTGCATTACAGGTTTATATTTAAGTGTTGGATATTGTGCCCAAAATAAAGGAATTGATCCACGTGTCTAAAGAATCAACTTAATTAATTACTGATAAACGATCAGGTTAGTGATAATTGAAATACCTGTACATAAGAACTCATAGTATTATTATATTCTACTATCATTTCTGTCTCAACAAAATTGGCAACATTTCCGTTCAGATCAATACCACGTTTTAATAATCTTGGGCCATGACGATTTCGTGATCGTCTGGATACTATTGTCCAAATAAAATCTTTTCCATTTAAAATGCAATTATTTATCGCAATAACTGAAATTAAAAATAATATACATACTACATATTTATAAATATTTATGAATAATTATTGATTAAAATCAATAAATATTTTAAAACCAACAGCTGATTTATTGATAATATATTTCATTAGTTTTAAATTTTTAATTTTGTACACATTTATATTTTATATTTATATTTTATAAAATTACTCGAAGATTATTCAGTAACAGACCAAAGAATAATTATTTTTCTAAGATTAAATATAAAATGTCAAGAAATGCTTTTGTAACATTTATGTTTAAATTTAGGAAAAACTATACTGTGAAGACTCACTTATTCATATATAAAATTAAATATATATTGTTTTTTTCTAATTTATAAAATATAATTTTATAAGTAGCAATATGGCTGTAAAACAAATCTGTAAGCTTCAGAAAATCAATTATTTAGAGTATATAGCTGATAGGTGAAGTCAATACAGGTTGAAATACAATATTATATAAAATGTAGGTCAGAATGTTTCTTATTTTAATACAATTATAATAACTTACATCCATGAATGATGGGAACACAAAACTCATGATGGTCCATACAAAAATTCTTCAGTAAAAAATGATTCCACAGAAATCGTTGATCTGCTCTTTCATGCATTGGAATCTAAAATAAAGAAAAAATACTTTAACGTTTTAATCATTAATGATAAAATATCTGAGATTAAAGTCAGGTCTATACAGACAGCAAAACAATGTTTTTGTTTTAAAAAAATATTTAGATAATTTAGTCTATAAAAGGAAAGTTAATTTTTTGTACACTATTTTACTACTATTTTAACTAACATTACATTTATCAATAAACTATTAAAATCGTATTTTATCAGTAATCGTTGATTATAAATCTATCTTACAATTATTATCAAACGTTATTTATTATTATTTATTCAGCTATTGTTATGACATTAGCATTTCAGTGATTATTTCAGTAAGTCAGTTGTTGTCTAATTGTTGTCAGTTTAGTTTTTCAACTTTTTTAATAAGTAAAAATAAAACTGACAATGATTTGATTGAAGGTGAATATGGGTCGTCTCATTCTGAAGTTTTAGATGTGTTGGATTTGCCGTTTGGTTCAAGAGGCAAGATGAATCAAACACCATTTAATAGCTACAATAAAGGAGATTGAGGAATTTAGCTGCTCTAAAGAAAAAATTAACAATAAAGCAGACTAAAATATTGTCATTTTCCAAACCTTTGTAATAAATAATGTACATACATAGTTTTTTCTTGTTTCATTTTGATGACATTAATAATTTGCTTATTGTTACTAATGTCAAATTGAATAATAAATAAAATGTTTTTATATAAATGTTTAACTTTTAATATATTATACTTCAATTATCTGTATATTTGTTTGTCAGGACCACCCTTGACAATAATTAGTCCGAATAATCAGCGTTCTTTTATACTTTCAAGTTTAACTAAGCGATTCAAACTATTATTTAAAATGTCTTATATTTACACATAAATTATGTAGAAATATAAAACCCAGGTAAAATTTTAGGAAAATTGTAACTTATTCAACAATAAAACAAAATTTTATTTTACCAGACTATTAAAGTTTGTTACCATATGCAATTTGAATGTAACGGCGATGTAAAAAAAAAAAAAAAACTGGTAATATAATTAGTTAGATAAGACAAGATCTTAGAGTGAATAATAGGTTATATCCTTGAATTATATATTATATAACTATTGATTACCAAAAATAAATCATTAATTATGTATTCCTATGAGTTAGATATAAATTTTAAACTTTGATACATTACAAAAATATCATTTAGGTGCTACTGTTGACTGAAATGATTGTTAATACAGTAGAGCCTCGATAGTTCGAACTCTCATTAATCCAGATGGCATAAGTCCATTTGATCATAAACGACATAAACACATTTGCAGTTTGTTCAGAATTCTTCAGAAATAAATTACTGATTACTATACTTAAGTTCTATTATTATAAACATTTTGTTTTGGTAATTCATTATGATAAAGTTATTTATTATTTTTGTAATTTACAGTGCAATAAATATAAAGGTGGTGGAATGAAAAATAATTTGAATTTGTCCGGATTATCGAGCTTTTACTGTAGAACTTTTAATCATTAATTAACTGAATAATTTTTAAACTTACATTTACAAATGATGTAGAAGTGTTATACAGCCTTTGCATAGTGTGAGTTAAATCATAAGTGTATGAGAAATAATAATATGGCGTATTAAAAGTTTGCTTGATCATGTTTAAATATTCAATATCCATTCGATCCTATTAAACAGAAATTATTTTCATAAAAATATAATACTAGTTTTAGATACAAAAATATAAAATATATATATACTTGTGTTTCATTTATATGAAGTTTAGTCTTAGGTACAGGTAAAATATCAATGTCTATCAATTTCCATATATCATGACCATTTATTTTACCAACAAATTC